CACGTTAAGAGACCCGCTTTTTCAATTCAGTTTCAGAAAAAAGACAAAAACCTCCGAGACTAGAGAAATTCAGGCTTGAATGGGATTCGAACGGGTGACCTGTGTGATACCAGTGCAGTACTCTACCAACTGAGTTTTCAAGCCAGCTAGGAGCTGGCTATATGAATTTGTGATATATCTGTAGAGGTGAAGATGTGAAAGAGAATATATGAGGAAAATCTTTGTCCCGCAGTACAAATATATGTTTCTTATAAATATCTTCAGGCTGGAAGTTTTTTAATTTTAATTTTTTGTAGTTTACTTCTAGTGAATTGGGCTTATTTTGGCAACTGCCCATTAAATTGCGTTCAAAAATAACTGCGGTGATGTCTCATGCCTTTGCACGTCTTGTGGAAAAGAGAAAAAAGTGTGAATAAGTTCAAAGTTTTAAGAAGACAATCATTATAGCTAGCCAGAAATAGGATCGGATAATATTATATATATTGATAGGGTCTACTATGGCCCAGCTCCTAACTATTTTTCCCGAGAATTTGATAAATGACTGGATAAAGAGAAACGATTGGGCTTAAAAGCAAAAAGATTTCAAGTCAAGTTTGCCAAAAAGGAACGACGAGGATGGGATTCGAACCCACGCGTGCAGAGCACATTGGATTAGCTGTCCAACGCCTTAACCACTCGGCCACCTCGTCAATTGTCCACTTCCACTACATTTTTGTAAGATTATAAAAACATGTTTTGGAACCTTACGACAGACGATAGTGTATGGTCTTGTATGATCAAATGTGTTTGACTTCTGCATTATATGAGCAGGGCGTTCTCCAAAAGTCGCATGTGTCGCGGCAAACTGTACTATTTTATTTCTATCAGAATATCAAAAACAAACTAAGATAACTAAGATATATCAACAGCTTTAAAAGACATGTAATCGGATGAACTGTAACGCAAGGACCACCTGTACAAACAGTAGCGGAGTGAAGCCGGTTGTTGGTTTAGATCAGGATCAGCAGTGTAAAATAAATAAAACCAATTGAAAGGCTGACCGGACGGCTGAAAAGAATAAATTTAAAGCCCAATATTTCGGTTAGACGGGAATAACCTTCTTTGGGGCTACACTGAAGCTAAGTAGATATGGATAAAACGGTTACAAAATTTATATGATACTTACGAAAATATGTGACATGATTGGTTGACAAAAATAGAGAAAAAGGAAACGTGTACTAAAGCGGATACATAAAAAAATATAGATTAAATTTCGCCACACCTGTTTAAGACGGAAGCCACTTCAACCTGATATCAATTTATTTGGTTCTCTTTTTACGACAGACGCTGTCAGAGCGTAGATTATCTCTCAGAGTTAACTCCATAGAAATTTACGTGACCACATCTGGGAAAAAGAACCACTGCATGTTAATTAACATTTAACAATTATTCCACAATCGCGCTTTGGATATGAGTTGGT